CTTTCTCTTTGCTCAGCCTGAAAATTATCCAGTCTGAGCTCCCTTTATGTGGTTCCTGAGAGGGATTTTTCAAAGATGGAGCACCTCGTCTTTGATTTGCCCTATTTAGCCTACTCTAGACTTTGCAAGCTGGTCAACTGATGGGTCAAATAATGTAACTTGTCACATGTTATTTGAACATGGTCAAATATTGTCAAATATTCCAGCACAAATGTCATGATGTAGGCAAGAGGACCCCCTTTTTGATTGCATCATGGTGCCACCTGTTAGCCAACCTACTGAAATATCTTGATCACTCACTTTAACTGCATGATAACGCCACCTATTTGGAAAAAAGTCAACTAATTGAAAGTTGAGCATCTTGATTGGCTTGAACCTTCTAGAACAAACATTGTATGTATGTATATCTTTATTTCTATGCCATGTCATTTACGAAGCATATTAAAACAAGTTAAAAGACACAGTCCTGGCACTGAAAAGCTTACAACCTAAACTGACTAGACAATGATATAGAAATAAACTCAGAAGGGAGTGGGAGAGGAAGAGGAAGAGGAGGGCTCACAGCCATTAAACTTCCACCCCCAACATAAACAGTAAAGATGCACAGCCATAAAACGGTTGGTAGAGTTGGCCTGCTGCCTATCTAGCATAAGTGATTTTTTGTTTTTATGGATGCTGTGTGTGTTTTATTTTTAATTTCATTCATTTACGAATAATGTCCACATTTAAAGGCCAACCTAAAAATAATTACTCTCATATTTGAGAAAATCATTTCATGGTGTTTCTGAATTAAAATAACTCAGTTTTTTTGTAATTAGGTATAAGTATCTAAGGGTAAGCCTATTAGAGACCATAAAGTCTTACTCTTTTTTGTGACTGTTCTTATAAATTAGTGCTTTAAAACATTTGACATTATTTGACAATATTTGACTGGTCAATTGACCAATTATTTTTGAACTGGTCAAATACCCAACCCTAGCTTGCTCCTCCATGAGTGGGAAGGGGAAGCACGGGGAGGGAAAGAACATAGTGGGTGGCCTGGTACAGAAAGCAAAGCCCTGGAAGTTTTTGTCTCTTAATGAAGAGAAGTAAAGAAAACTTTTGTTTTATTCAGTCATAAAATCAGGTTTCAGAGCTAGTGGAGAAAGAGGAATTGCTGAACTGCCACTCTGCTTGCACAATTGGAGGTAGGGAAATAATGAGGGACAGCACAGAGAAATACACACAACATAGATTATAAGTTTTAAAAAAAAGAAGGAAGCCTGAAATACAATGCTGCAGACTTCAGCAAAAGTCACTAAGTTTTTTTTCTTTTGGGAGATGGGGGAGGGAAGAGTGGAGAGGGGGGTTGTGGGTTTTTTTTTTTTGTTTTTTAAATGAGGTATTTGAGAGATCTCTTGTATTTGCTTCAATTGCCAAGAACAGGTGACAAGTGAGGCAAGGAAAATCAGTTACTCAGTAGCAACCCATCTCATCATGTCTGGAGTAACACTGATGAGCTCCTTTTGCTGTGATGATTGGGGGCTTACAGAGCAAATGTGAAAACATAGGGTAATCCTATAAGCTCTGAGAAAAGCCAGGCCTGCTCTCTCATCTAAGAAAAAGAAGTGGGAGCATACACAATATTTATTTCTCTTTCATAGAGGTAATAGTAAAAATGACCCTGCAACAATTTCAAAATGAAACTAACAGTATACAGTAGCTGTGTATTACTGGAAGACTTCAATCAGTCTTCATGCACCTCACTCAGTAAATCTTTCCAAACTCATCTATTGCTTAAACAAACAAAAATGTTTTGCAGTTCCTGTATTTAGGGTCTGAAACCCAAATAATACATAATCTATAATAAGCAAAATTGTTTTGAGATACCAGATCAATGAAATAATCTACAGTCATTGAACTCTCAGCAATATTTTATTTTTGAGATTTTGTCAGCAAGGTACTCTGGCTCCTATCCAACAAAACACTTAAGCACACAGTTAATTTTAAGAACAGGAACCCTCAAATTTTAACTTTGCAGGATCAAGGTATTTTCTGGTACCCACCCATTTTTGCATGTCACTGATCTACTCTTTGCTTAGACCCGTACTTCCTTTATTTACACATTTTGAGCCAAGACCCTTTAGCAGATGAGTGAAAATAGACTCATATGTCTAATTACTTATTTTAATCGGGTGACAGATACGCAACAATTTGAATATCTAGACTACAATTTGCATAAATACATTTTAAAACAAAATATTTGAAAATCATTTCCTTCTTTACTCCTTATGTGTTTAAGGGCTTTGCTGGATTGGGATCAGAGCACTCAGCACCTTTCAGGATCAAGCCCTAGGTGCATAAATCAATCTTCAAAGAAATGTTATGCTCACAAAGAATATACCGGTTAAACAAATTTAGATGAATGAAACCAACTATGAAGAGAAATTAGAATGTCTGAAAATTAATAAAGCACAGCTGGAATTATTCGATTCATTTATGTTAATTGCTTAAATGGCTCTAGGGCGAAGACTTGCTGAAGGAAGATACACTAAGACTCAGGGATCAAATGCTTTTGGGGACAAATGGACCTATAGGAACACGCTAGTCTAATTTGGTCCTTGCAGAGGAACAAGTCTAGAGAAACATAACACAAAATCCAATTTGGATTCCAATGAGCAGATATCAAGGGTTAATCACATTGTAACCATAATTTTACATATATGGACACTCACAACATTAATAACTTTTCAAGCTACAGGATTTCTCAACAAAACAGAGGTTTACAGATAATATCTCCAGGAGAAACAATAACTATGGTTTTTACACTCCTTGTTGTATAACACACTTCAAAATATTTGTTGTACAGCAGCTGAAGTGACCCATGCACGCATTTCATATGACAATTGTATTCCAGCAGTTCAAGGACCCCATTAGTGGGCTCAGCTACCTAGCAGTAAACATGTTCAGCTATGGCAACATTCTGTGCCTTGGGAATTAAATGAAGATGCAAGTTCAAATATCATGCGTTTGGTATATAATCAATCTAACTACTATTAGTCAGCAACAATAAAAGCTTCCTAATGCTGTATACTGCTGTAATATGTCCTCATTCACTTCCCATTAGTTTTGATGGAAACTCATCTGAAAACATGTATGGATGCACACCAAATATGTTGGGTTTCTTCTGAACACCTCTTATATTTTTATAAATATATATTGCTTCTTGTTGAATATTAGTAAAGTGAACAGACACCAAAACCTAAAGATTTTCTTTAGATAGCAGCAGGTAAATTCTGAGAGTGGAGCATGCAAGTAAAAGTTGAGGCTCATGTCCAGCCACACGAACCTGCAAGAAAACTTTGAATAGTCCCTAATAGCACATAGATGTGCTAGAAAGACCCATTTGTATATATTTGCCTGGGTATACAGTGAGATTGTCACTCATTTCCTACTCATACCATCCTTAAAAGACAACTGTTTCGGATGCCCAAAGCTGAAGTCATTCAAATTCAGTCACATGGAAAAAGTCATCATTGTGACATTTACATGTCCAGCAGTAATTTTTAAAAAATGCTGAATCACTGATAAATTTATACTATTTTTCAAGTAATTTCAGGGTTTCAGAATCTTAATCTCTTTCCTATAACTTGTAGGGTCTGCAGACAGCTACACAAGAGAGCTTACAGCGGCACAGTTGTTCCTCTGTAGCTGTGCCACTATAAGCTCTCTAGTGCAGTGTTTCTCCACCTTTCCAGACTGCTGTACTCCTTTCAGACACCTGATTTGTCATTTGTAACCCCAACTTTCACCTCACTTAAGAAATACTTGCTTACAAAATCAGACATAAAAATACATAAGTGTCACAGCCACACTATTACTGAAAATTGCTAACTTTCTCATTTGTGCCATATAATTATCAAATAAATCGACTGGAATATAAATGTTGTACGTACATTTCAGTGTATCGTATATAGAGCAGTATAAAAGTCTTTGCATGAAATTTTAGTTTGTACGGACTTCTCTAATGCTTTTTATGTAGCCTGTTATAAAACTAGACAAATATCTAGATGCGTTGATGTACCCCCCTGGAAGCCCTTTCTGTACTCCCAGAGGTACATGTACCCCTGGTTGAGAACCACTGCTCTAGTGTAGCTCCTCTCAGCTTAATTAATCCACCCACCACGAGTGGTGGTAGCTATGTTGTCGGAAGAAGCTCTCGCGCCGACGTAGCATTGTCTACGCTGATGCTTAGGTTGGTGTGATTTATGTCGCTCAGGTGGGTGACTTTTCAAGCCCTGAGCGACGTAAGTTACACTAACATAAGTGGTAGTGTAGACATAGCCCATCCAAATTCTGAACCACCCTACCTTGAGAAAAATTGAAAAACAGTTAATATAAAATCCATGGCAATGCAATGTCTTGTTTTTAAACACTTTCATGGGGATACTTTAGAATCTGATGCCATTCATGAACTATTCTTTAGTTTTGTGGGGGTTAGGGAGTTGCTTTTTTCTTCTTCTTTAAAGCAAGAAACTGACATACACTAATAAAAAACAACAATACAGGAAAGGTGCGGTCCTTGCCTTTCAATCTGGAAAGACTGAAAATGAGGGACACACAAAATTATTCGTGCAGGAATGACTTCAGATTTGCTCCTTTAATAAATACATATTTCTTATTTCAACAATAGAAGTGAGAAGACACTACAATTGTGAGAAACGTAGGTAAGTCTCAGACCAAAATGAGTGAGGTATTTGAAATGTGAGATAGTTGAAAGGTGTGATACTGTCTTTAATATAAAAAGTATTCTGACATGTCATCTTCTCAAATATTTTCTCTAGAAATTGATCTCAATAAAGCTCCGGGCTTGTTAAATGGAGGGAGAAAGACTATGTTAGAGCAACACAGTGTTTTTCTGTTGTACATCAAATTTAGTATCCATACAGATATACAGTGGTTTTTGGATCTGAAGGGATGCAGTCATTTCAGTTCCACAAATAATGTGTCAGTGAATTTACCTGTATAGTCCTCTGAGTGCCATCAATGGTGACAGACGATAAGGGTGAAGCCAGGTTCCACTCACTGGTCACATTTAGTTTCATCCCATCAACGTCCACCTGTTGTGACACCAAACAAGACTGTTACCATGAAGACGGACAGAACGCTGATCTCAAGTTCATTGCTGCATACCAAGCAGAAACTGTTTTAAAACAGATGGCTCCCAAACAACCTGTCATGTTTACTGCTTCTGCCATAAAAGACAGGGTCCAACAACAGAGTCTTCTAGGCATCTCTGGGGAGAGGTGAAGGACCTGTGAACAGCTGCCTCCGAGTAGTGAGGTTTCAAGAGATTTCTAGCAAGTAACAAACACCCATCCAACTTTTAAATCTAACTGGACATGCTACATTTACTGCAATTAGACAAGTAATGCATATAAATTCCAGTGACACTTTGCAACCCACACCACAGGGCTTGCATATAATATCCTCTCCAAGGACCAAGGAAGAACTTTCCCTGTGATCTTAATGAAGGGTTTTGCATTGTTATCTTGATTAATATGAAGCAGTAATTAATTCTTTGGTGTTACACCTCAACGTCCAATCAAACTTTGCAAGTTCTGTCATGTTTTCCCTCAATCTACTACTAATCAGAGGACTGATTTCACACTTACATTCCATTGTGGCTATCCTGAAAGACTTAAGGGGAAAAAATCATCACTGCGTATTTTTTAATAAGAGAATTTTTCTACATAAGGACAAACAAGCTGAGTTATGAAACAAAGTTAGTAACAGGAATAATGCTGACTGTGCTCTCTTACATTCACTCTAACTGGGCTATCACCCCCTGTTAAAAAAAAATTACTACAACTGCTGAATGTTGTATTATGCTACAAGGACCTCAGAGTTTAACAACAGCAGAGTTTAATAAAAAGGTAGTAAAAATACCATTTATACAATAATATTTTGAAGATTAATGTTTGTAGAGTGCTTTGAACATGTAAAATGCTATTTATGCAAGTGCAAAGTACAAATGATCTCAACTATACATTGTATTTTAAATAAAAGGAAAATAATGGGGATTTTGTTATCCTGCATCCAGTCATACCCTCAGAAGACCCAGAATATGTCAAATCAATAAATCACAAACAACATCAAGTTTACCAAAATCACTTATATTTCATGCCACTGAAATTATCTCAGTAAACTGGAAGAAAACACTGCTACATCAAAACTGTATTTACAGTAAGTGCTGTGCCCTTTTTTGACAACATAGTAAAGACATCTAAAAATCAGCATTTTTAAATTTTAACATTTAATAATTTCATTTAATGTATCTGACAATAGGATAAGGCAGAAAAAATTATACTGTATCTAAAGGAGTTCCAGATAAACAAACATATATGGCTAACATGCATAATTTAATTTTAGCTTAGAAAAGCTTTAGCCCAAGAAACCTCTAATTCCACAGACGCTTATTTCAGAATATAAAAGTTTTCTTTAATGGATATGATCCACTCAATATTCCTACAGGTTTTGACTTCAAATACAGTCATGTATAGAGACCACAAATAAAACAAATAATTTATAATGGTTCACCAGAAGGCTAGATCAGCTGGCACGAACCAGCTGCTTTGTGCTATTCCAGTGATACAAAACAGCCATCAACCTGGCTTAAGTTAAACCAGGTTTACAGCTGCTTTGCATCACAGGAGCAGCACAACGCAGCCAGAGCATACCAGTGAATCTGTCCTAATGTCAATAAAAGTAAATTGGCAAATACTATCTCTGTTGAGAACAGGACAAACTTGTGAAAGAGACTCCACTTAGAGCAGAACAAGCCTGCTGCCCTGTCTTCACACTCTCTGACTGACAGCTGTCCTTCCAAACTAAAGTTGCTAGAAAAGCCAATCCTTCTCTGATGACATAATTAAGAACATTAACAAGAAAAAAATCAGTTGTGCTAAAACAATCACCATCAAAGACCACCTTCAAATCCTTCCTCAAAATTCTCCTTTGCACTGATGCCTACAAAGATCTTGGCAACAGCGAGGCTGCTGGAGTGCTGAGACTACTGTCTATCATGCTGACCAGTACTGTCTCATTCTTTCCTTGTACTTCCCTGTCTGTCTGTAGCCATCTGTTGTCTCTTATCTTATACATAGATTATAAGATCTTTGGGGGCAGGGACCATCTTTTGTTCTGTGTTTGTACAGTGCCTAACACAATGGGGTGCTGGTATATGACTAGGCTCCTTGGCTCTGTGGCTGAGATGGGCAAACTACGGCCCGCAGGCCACCTCTGGCCCATGGAACCATCCTGCCAGGCCCTTGAGCTTCCGGCCAGGGAAGTTAGCCCCCAGCCCCTTCCCCGTTGTCCCCCCCTCCCCCGCAGCCTCAGCTCACCATGCCGCTGCCAGTCCTGGTGCTCTGAGCAGCATGGTAAGCGAGCGGAGGGGTTGGATAAGGGGCAGGGGGTCCAGGGGACAGTCAGGGAACAGGGGGCAGTTGGATGGGGCGGAGATTCTATGGGAGATGGTCAGGGGACTGGGAGCAGGGGGCGGTTGGCATGGGAGTCCCGGGGGGGGGAGCGCCTGTCAGAGGACGGGGGTGTGGATAGGGGTCGGGGCAGTCAGGGGACAGGGAGCAGGGGGGTTGGATGGGGGTGGGGTCCTGGGGGGGCAGTTAGGGGCAGGAGGTCCTGGGAGGGGGAGGTCAAGGGACAAGGAGTAGGAGGGGTTGGATGAGTCAGGGATTCTGAGGGGGGCAGTCGGGGTGGGAAGGGGTGGGGGCCAGGCTATTTGGGGAGGCACAGCCTTCCCTATCCGGCCCTCCATACAGTTTCGGAACTCCGATGTGGCCCTCAGGCCAAAAAGTTTGCCCGCCCCTGCTCTATGGTAATACAAATAAATAAGAAATAATAATAATAAACTTGCAATGTTTCTCAGGAACAACAAAGGAGCAGCTACCAGAGCAGAGCAGAATACGGGCCAACAAGCAACTGAGATTGCACTCTGGGGTTGTACTTCTGCAAGACTTACATAGAGTCTGGTAGAAGCTACAGCTGACATCTAAGTACTAATCAAGGGTGAAGGGCACCATTCAAACACCTCAACTCTGCAACCAATTTCATTATTAGTTCCTCTATCACTGTAAAAAGGTATTTAAAAAGTGTAACGCTGGCAAGTTACCAAACTCTGAGCTCTCACAAGAATACATACAAGTCTAGTCATCTGTGATTCAGATAAAGTTAGCATCCAAGAACTGGGGCAGAACACATTGTGAGGGTGGCGATGATGCAAGTCAGAGGCTCTGGAGCAGATTTGATTAGTGAAACATGGTTCAAACACTGCAGCATTTACTGTGGATTGTGTGGAAAAAGAGAAAATGCAGGCAATGCATTGTTTCTACCATATATTCACCACTCAGCAAGACATGTAGGGCCCAATGACGGAATCAGATATGCAGTCTGTACCAAAGAGAGTCCAGAGAAAATTTTGTAAAGGTGACAGAGACAGCAAAAGCTCTAATGCTTAAGGTGGCAGGGAAGGGAGGGGAAAATATATCTCACCATGGGAAAAATGAGGCAAGGTCTGAGGATAAAAGCAGAGTGGCCTTGCAGGAAGCAGGTTAATTGCGCTATGTAGCAAGAAGCTTCTATACAAGCCAAAAACAAAGAAAAAACAGTTATCTGTGGGATTAATTAGACCCTTACTTGTTACAGTAGTGAGGCTGTCCCTTCCAGAAATGAGCCAAGTAAAGTAAGAGCAGAACCACAAGTCCAAAAGCCAAGCTAGCTAAGGGGATGGAAGCAGAAAGCCAAATATGATGGTCAGAGAACTGACTGACTCAGTGGGAATGTCACAAACCTCTATAATTAGGCTTGGAAGGATTCGATTTTTAACCAGTAAATGTCACTAAACATCAATTTCACTGTACACACAAACCAGTGAAAAAATATTTCCATCGATGATAATCAAAAGGCAAAGTAAGAAAAATAGTGCTTGAGAACTTATTAGAGTTTGATTTAAGGATGTTTGTCTATTTTGACATATGATGGTGACAAATTGTGTTTTAATCATTATATAGCGTCAACTTTTTGAACCTCAATATCTACTGTCAATAAATTATTTGATTTCCCCCAATATCGGACTCCCCCATAATTTCCTGAAACTGTGAAAATTAACAGATAAACTTGAAAAAACAGGTTTCAAAGCCATCTCACACAACAACAAAAAATATAAATAAATATAAAAAACAAGCTTATAAATGAACGTATTATCCATCAAAACTATAAAAAATATATAGAGAGAAATAGAATTCTGCTGAGCCTGTCCATACTGTTGTTTTAAACAGAAATCAGCATCGGTAGGTTGTTGAGATTTGAAGATACCTCCCTCTAGGCATCGGCTATTCAGACACTACAGGATGACACTAGGACAACAGTACAGTTGAGTGATTTACAGACACTAAGTAGTAAACAGATGAGCAAATTTTGCAGCACTAATCTTTTGTTTAATTTTTGTCCCGGGCTAACGAGGCTACAACAAACAATCAGGGAACTCCTACAACCCCTGGGGCCACATGGCAGGTTTTGAATGTGCAAAATCATTTGTTTGGTTGGTTTGGCTGTAAGACAAAGTGAGAGAAAGAAGAGGGTTTGGACTCAAGACTTTCAGCTGCTTAGGTTCAATTGGAAAATAACCTTTCCTCCTTAGAAAAATCTGACGCTGGAAATATCATGAAAACAGATGCCTCTTTGTAGTATTTCTGAAGAGTCTTATTTACCATATCCACCACTGACCAGACATTTTGGTGGAGGTATTCATACCAGAGTATAACTTACAGCCTTATTTAGGTTAGATCCAGAACATCACTCAACACAATCACAGCAATGATTTAAAATAAATATATCTAAGAGGAGCTGCAGAAAAGGTGCATGAAAGAGCAAACAAGACAGGCATGGCCTTTGGGGAACAGTACAGCACAGCACAATGCAAAAGCAAATTGGGAAAGGAACAAAAGGGAGAGCTCACATTAAACCTGCTAGCAGTGGCTTTCAAATAAAAGCTGGATGCACTACAGCTTATATGAGAGGAACATCTTTGATACAAATTAAC